ATGTCAGAACTGCCACGTCAACGCAGCCAGGCAGGCAACAAAACTGGTAGGGCAGGGACGCCCACACCACCTGGCGACCAAAACAGCAAACAACTCCAACAGCCACGGAGGGTTGGTAAACGTCCTCAGTCCACGGCTGTTAGCAGTCGACTCCCCACCCGCAAGATGGGTATGGGGTCCACTACCACCTGCAGGATGGGTATGGGGTCCACTACCACCCGCAGGATGGGTATGGGGTCCACTACCACCCGCAGGATGGGTATGGGGTCCACTACCACCCGCAAGATAGGCATGGGGTCCACTACCACCCACAGGATGGGTATGGGGTCCACTGCCATCCGCAGGATGGGTATGGGGTCCACTACCCCCCGCAGGATAGGCATGGGGTCCACTACCACCCACAGGATGGGTATGGGGTCCACTGCCATCCGAAGGATGGGTATAGGGTCCACTACCCCCCGCAGGATAGGCATGGGGTCCACTACCACCCACAGGATGGGTATGGGGTCCACTACCATCCGCAGGACGGGTATGGGGTCCACTACCCCCCTCAGGATTGGCATGGGATCCACTACCACCCACAGGATGGGTATGGGTTCCACTACCACCCACTGGATGGGTATGGGGTCTACTACCACCTGCAAGATGGGTATGGGGCCCACCACCACCACCTGCACGATGGGTATGGGGCTCACTACCCCCTGCAGGATGGGTATAGGGTCCACTACTACCTGTAGGATGGGTATGGGGTCCACTACAACCCGCACGATGGGTATGGGGTCCACTACTACCCACAGGATGGGTATGGGGGTCCACTACTACCCACAGGATGGGTATGGGGTCCACTAGCTACAACCCGCAGGATGGGTATGGGGTCCACTACTACCCGCAGGATGGGTATGGGGTCCACTACCACCCGCAAGATGGGTATGGAGTCCACTACCCCCCGCAGGATGGGTATGGGGGTCCACTACTACCCGCAGGATGGGTATGGGGTCCACAACCACCCGCAGGATGGGTATGGGGTCCACAACCACCTGCAGGATGGGTATGGGGTCCACAACCACCTGCAGGATGGGTATGGGATTCACAATCACCCGCAGGATGGGTAAGGGGTCCACAACCACCCGCAGGATGGGTAAAGGGTCCACTACCACCCACAGGATGGGTATGGGTTTATATGAAAAAATAAACAAACAAACTATACTCACAAAATGAACAGTATGGTAAAAACACAGCTCAATTGCAACGTAATGTCACACAAAATAATTAAATCAAACTGAAAATAAATCAAAATTTATGAAAATTCAATTTATCTATTTATTTATTTATTTATTTATTTATTTATTTATTTGTTCATTTATATATATACAAGAAGGTACATAGGGATTGTGAGGATACATAGCATAGTAATTACATTCTTGTAAAGCACTAGTACGCGCAGCATTTCGGGCAGGTCCTTAATCTAAGAAAATTTTAAGTAGGTAAATACTAACAAAATTTAAAAAAAATGATAACAGTTACATAGCAAGAAAAAAATAAAAGATGAGAGAAAATTGTAGGTATGTTAAAGCACATAGGTAGCTGAGATTGATTGCAATGACAGCTTGAATGGTAGTTTAACAAAAATTAGTAGGCACAATACAGCATATGGCTAGCACATAAAAGAAGACAGCAATGAACACAATGATAAGGTTGTTTGGATTAAGCACATAAAGATTGGGAGATTGGGGTAACACTAGATACAGACAATTTTAAAACTCAGTGTAGGAAACTACGAAGATGAAAGTGGTACTTTTTGGTTTTGTTTTTGAATGAGGCAAAAGTTACATCTTTTCAATTCACTAGGGAGTAAGTTCCATAGACTAGGTCCCTTTATTTGCATAGAGTGTTTACACAAATTAAGTTTGACCCTGGGGATATCAAAAAGATATTTATTTCTGGTGTGGTGATAATGGGTCCTATTACATCTGTCCAGGGAGAGTTTCAAAGCATGGTTTGCATTTAAAAACAGGGTTTTGTAAATGTAGTTGACACAAGAGAATGTGTGAAGGGAGTTAATATTTAGCATGTTAAGGGATTTAAACAAGGGGGCTGAGTGTTGTCTGAAAGCAGAGTTTGTTATTATTCTGATAGCAGATTTTTGCTGGGTGATGATGGGCTTGAGGTGGTTTGCAGTGGTAGACCACCATGCACAGATACCAGAATTAAGATAGGGATAAATTAGTGCATAATATAGTGAGAGGAGAGCAGAGTTAGGAACATAATATCTTATTTTGGAGAGTATACCAACTGTTTTAGAGACTTTCTTAGTTATGTGTTGAATGTGGGTGCTGAAGTTGAATCTCTTGTCTAGGAATAGACCAAGAAACTTCACTGCACTCGGAAACATTGAAATGGAATCGTAACATATTTAATATAGTGTGTGTGTTTCAGAAAATCATGTTTTTACCTGTCACAGGTGTGGCATCTATATAGTAGGTATATAAAAACATGCATGTATTCGAATGGAACGTTGTGACAAAATTTCAAAGCAATCGGTGAAAAACTCTTGGAGATTACTGTGTGAGTTGCTCTTACGTTCAACAGATGGTGCTGTTTTTCAAAAAAGCATGTTTATTCCTGTCCCACATGAGGCATGTATATAGTAGGTATATAAAAACACATGCCTATTCGAATGCAATGTTGTGTCAAAATTTCAAAGCAATCGGTAAAGAGGTTTCGAAGATTTCCCCTAACACGAAAAAACAGTTTTTCAAAAAGAGCATGTTTTTTCCCGTCACAGATGTAACATCTATATAGTATTCATCTATTCAGTATCTATATAAAAACCCGCTCGGATGCGAATGGAACGTTGTGTGAAAATTTCAAAGCAATCGCTGAAGAACTTCCGGAGATTAGCGATTTTGAACAAACGAACATTTACATATTTATTTATATAGATACAGTTTACAAGCATTGAAGTTTACCAGTCAAATGTTATTGTAATTGTTAATGTAAATAATCATAAATTATGTCAATGATTATTATATAGTACATAGACAAGAAACATACATAGTACATATGTATGTCAAGTACATAGACAAAAACAGTCGGTATACTTTCTAAAATCAGATATTATGTTCCACACTCTGCTCTCCTCTTATTATACTACGCACTAGTTTATCCCTATCTTACATACGGTATCTGTGCATGGGGTTCAACCACTGCAAACTACCTCAAGCCTATTATCACTAAGCAAAAAATCTGTTATTAGAACTATAACAAACTCTGTCTTCAGACAACACACAGCCCTCTGTTTAAGTCCCTTAACATGCTAAACATACACTCACTCCATGCACTCTCATGTGCTATCTACATGTACAAAGTTCCTAAAAGCTAATGTTGAGCTGAAACTTTTCCTTGATAGGTATAATAGAGCACCCATGAGCACCACACCAGAAATAAATATATCGTTGAAATCCCCCAGAGTCAGACTAAATATGTGCACACACTCCATGCAAATAAAAGGTCCCAGCCTTTGGAACTCACTCCCTGATGAATTAAAAAATTATCCAACCCATGCCCTGTTCAAAAGTAAAATAAAAAAGTACCAAATTTCATCCTCATAGTTTCCTACCTTGTACTTCAAACTCATAGTGTGTCTTGTACTACCCACTTCCCCATTATTAGTACTGTACTTAAGACATATATCCTTACCAGTGTAATCACCTCTTGTCAATTTACACTGTAGTTACCTGTTGATATAAAAACCTTGCTACAATGTACCCTTTCATCTTACCTGATATGTTAGATTAAGGACCTGCCCGAAACGCTATGCGTGTTAGTGGCTTTGCAAGAATGGGAAAACACAAATCTTATTTAATCTCACCAATCCATTTTACCTTCTTACAAATAAATATATTATTATTATTATTATTATTATTATTATTATTATTATTATTATTATTATTATTATTATTATTATTATAAACAGCCTCCTGGTGCTCCTGAGCTCTTAATAAATGTAAATAATGGTGCCAAAGATTGAGAACAGATGTAGGTTCCGGCGTTGATGGTAAATGTTTGTTGATTGCTGGCCCTGATTGATGTGAGTGTTTGCATCTCGCCCCTTTATTTATTATTTATTTATATACAAGAAGGTACATTGGGTTTATTAGAGTACAGAGACTTGAAGTTTGACATTCTTGTAAAGCCACTAGCACCCATAGTGTTTCTGGCAGATCCTTTATCTAACATAATTTTAAGAAGGTAATTTCTAGCAAAATTAAAAAAAAATTTTTACAGGTACATTGAAAGAAAGTATAAAAATATATTGTAAAAAAAGTATAAAAATATATTGTAAAAAAGTATAAAAATACATTGTAAGAAGGTATAAAACACATTGTAAGAAAGTATAAAAAAATACACTGTATAAAAAAATTGACAGAAAAAAAGTAGGTACATTAAAGTCAATTTAAGGGTTATCCACAGGAACATTTTAGCATAATTTGAGGATTATTGCAAGATATACTGTATAAAACTATGTGTATACCATGATATAAGATAACAGCAATGATTGCAATGGTAAAGTTGTATGGCACAGGTACATATTTTGGGAAATTGGGTAGCACTAGATACAGTGCGAGTTTCAAGCACTAGGTAGGAAACTTTGAAGATGAAATTAGGTACTTTTTTACTTTATTTTTGAATAAGGCAAAAGTTTTACAGCTTTTCAATTCATTAGGGAGTGAGTCCCATAGACCAGGTCCCTTTATTTGCATAGAGTGTTTACACAGATCAAGTTTGACTCTGGGGTATTTATTTCTGTGAGAAATAGATATTTATTTCTGGTGTGGTGATTATGTGTTCTACTACATCTGTCCATGAAGATTTTCAGAACAAGGTTGCCATCTAAGAACAGGGTTTTGTAAATGTAATTGGCATTTCAAATATTATGCTCACAAACACAAGGCTGATGCTTTTTAAAATATTAAAAGAGGCGTTTCCTGCTCTTACAGCTGAGGACGGAGCCGAGCTGGCCAAAATACAGAAGGTTCGGGTGATAAGGAACGACCAGAGGGAAGGTAAGTCTTATGATGATCTTATTATACTACATGTTATTCTTGGACCTATCATGACTCAAGAACATGTGTCATATTGTTGGACTTATCATAATTCAAGAACATGTGTCTTATTTTTGAACCCATCATGATTCAAGAACACGTCGTCTCTTATTGTTGGACCTATCATGACTCAAGAACATGTTGTCTCTTATTGTTGGACCTATCATGACTCAAGAACATGTTGTCTCTTATTGTTGGACCTATCATGACTCAAGAACATGTTGTCTCTTATTGTTGGATCTATCATGACTCAAAAACATGTTGTCTTGTTGTTGGATCTATCATGACTCAAGAACATGTTGTCTTATTGCTGGACCTATCATGACTCAAGAACATGTTGTCTTATTGCTGGACCTATCATGACTCAAGAACATGTTGTCTTATTGCTGGACCTATCATGACTCAAGAACATGTCTTATTGCTGGACCTATCATGACTACATTCAGCACCAACATTATAGTGAGTAAATATGTCATATTTCTTCATTGCGTACATAATGCTAGAAGGCTTTGGGTAGCTTTGGGTAATTGATGGCCCCATGCCAGACAGGGCCCTGGCCAGAGGGCCATGTTATGCTGAAGGTTACACAGCGTGGCCCAGGACTTCTAGGACTCTATAGAGGCACCGGGCTCATGCATATAACGTTATTGTGATTTCATGGTGAATTTGGCCAATGTTCCTCCAAGCTGCTTCCTACCCCCAAACTTTACCAAACTAGGAAACCAAAATTAGTATTTTCTCGAATATAAAATATTATAAATGAATGTTATAATTGTGAGTTTAGCTATACTTAGGATAGGTTAGGTTAGGTATTTTTTCCGTAATATTTTGTTTGGCTATGCCTAGGATAGGTTAGGCTGGGTGTTTTGGTCCCGTTATCCATTGGAGATATTTGTTGCTGGTAATACCATCCAGATGGATAGTATTTCTTTATTTATTTATTTATATATACAAAATGTACATTGGGTTTATGAGAGTACATAGCATTGATGTTTTTACATTCTTGCAAAGCCACTAACAAGCTTAGCGTTTCGGGCAGGTCCTTAATCTAACAGATAATTTAAAGTAGGTAATTTGGAGCAAAATTTAAAATGGTTAACAGGTACATTGTAAGAAAATTAGTAGGTGCATTTTAGTAAAGTTTCAGGATTATTTCTAAGTACATTGTAGCATAATTTGAGGATTATTTCTAGGTACATTGTAGCATAATTTGAGGATTATTTCTAGGTACATTGTAGTAAAATTTGCTTTCAACATAACAGCCATGATATAAGATGATGACAGTGATTACAACAGTGAAATAATATGGCTTAGGCATATATTTTGGGGTAGCACATGATACAATGTGAGTGTGAAGCATGAGGTAGAAAACTATTAGGATGAAATTATATACTTCTTGGTGTTATTTTTTAATATGGCGTAAGTTGGACAGCTTTTTAATTCGTTAGGGAGTGAGTTCCATAGACTAGGTCCCTTTATTTGCATAGAGTGTTTACACAGATTTGGTTTGACTCTGGGAATATCAGAGATATTTATTGATTTTGGGGTGGTGATTATGGGTTCTATTACATCTGTCAAGGAAGAGTTTCAGAACAGGGTTTGCACCTACGAACAAGATTTTGTACATCAAATCAAATCAAATCAAATCAAATGTTTATTTAGGTAAGGTACATACATACAAGAGATTTTACAAAGAGTGATGGATTTATAGATAGGGCTAGTACATACAATGCCTAAAGCCACTATTACGCAAAGCGTTTCAGCCATGAAAAGCTTAAATGACTAAAGCTTCATTCATTTAAGTCAAAAATGCTTTAGTCATTTAAGCTTTTCATGCCTGAAACGCTTTGCGTAATAGTGGCTTTAGGCATTGTATGTACTAGCCCTATCTATAAATGCATCACTCTTTGTAAAATCTCTTGTATGTATGTACCTTACCTAAATAAACATTTGATTTGATTTGATTTGATTTGATTTGATGTACAAAATAATACTAATTGAGCATAAAGAATAAAATGAGTTGAGAACAAATAAAAAAAAGAGATAAAAAGGGGGAAAACATGGCTGAAAAAGCAGCACAAATACAATTTGGTCGACAAACAGCGTCATTTAAAAAAAAAACAGACATTGGTTGACAATAGAGGGGTAAGGTAGGTTACAGGGAATTTATTAGGTATAGCTTCATTTTTAACTTAAACTGGTTGAGAGAGGTACAGTCTTTAACATGGTTGGGAAGGTCATTCTACATTCTGGGTCCCTTGATTTGTAGAGCATTTCTAGTTTGATTAAGTCGTACTCTAGGAATATCAAACTGTATTTATTTCTGGTGTGGTGCTCATGGGTTCTGTTACAACCTTCTATGAAGCTTTTGAGGTCAGGATTGGCATTACAGTTCAGTGTTTTATATATGTATAATACACATGAGAGAATGTGCAGTGACTTAATATCTAACATATTCAGAGATTAGACATACATGTAAATGGCACAAGAGAATGTGTGGGGTAATTACACTTAGGTAATTACACACACACACCCTAGAAAGCAGCCGTCTAACTCCCAGGTACCAATTTACTGCTAGGTAACAGAGGCATTAGGGTGAAGGAAATTCAACCCATTTGTTTTTCCGGCGGTGCCAGGAAATCGAACCCCGGTCCCTAGTTCCACAAGTCAAAAATTCAAATTCAAATGTTTATTCAGGTAGAGTACATACATACAAGAGGTGATACAAAAATTGATAGATTTATAGATAGAGCTAGTACATACAATGCCTAAAGCCACTATTACGCAAAGCGTTTCGGGCAGGAAAAATATTAAAGACTAAAACTTAATACTAATTGAGGTTAAAGTATAAAATGTGTTGAGAAGAAAAAAAAAAGGGGGAATATGGCAGAAAAACAGCAAAAATACAATTAGGTCGACAAACAGCATTGTTTAAAAATAACAGACATGGGTTGACAATATAGGGGTAAGGTAGGTTACAGGGAATATATTAGGTATAGCTTCATTTTTAACTTAAACTGGTTGAGAGAGGTACAGTCTTTAACATGATTGGGAAGGTCATTCCACATTCTGGGTCCCTTGATTTGTAGAGCATTTCTAGTTTGATTATGTTAGACATTAAGTCACTGCACATTCTCTCATGTGTATTATACATATATAAAACGCTAAACTATAATGCCAATCCTGATCTCAAAAGCTTCATAGAAGGTTGTAACAGAACCCATGAGCACCACACCAGAAATAAATACAGTTTTGATATTCCTAGAGTACGACTTAATCAAACCAGAAATGCTCTACAAATCAAGGGGCCCAGAATGTGGAATGACCTTCCCAACCATGTTAAAGACTGTACCTCTCTCAACCAGTTTAAGTTAAAAACGAAGCTATACCTAATAAATTCCCTGTAACCTACCTTACCCCTCTGTTGTCAACCCATGTATGTTTTTTTTTTTTTTTTTTTTTTTTCAAATCAACACTGTTTGAATGTAATTTTCTGTAATAATTTGTTAATTGTATTTGTGCTGCTTTTTCAACAATGTTCCCCCCTCTTTTACCTCTATTTTTATTTGTTTCTCAACACATTTTATTCTTTTTACCCATTAGTTTTAAGCTTTATTCATTAATGTTTTTCCTCCCCGAAACGCTTTGCGTAATAGTGGCTTTAGGCATTGTATGTACTAGCTCTATCTATAAAGCCAACAAACTTTGTAAAATCTCTATGTATGTACCTTACGTAAATAAAAATTATTATTATTATTATTATTATATAATCAGAGCTTTAATATAACAATGTGCTTTAATATACTTACTAAGCTCTTTCATTTCATTTATCTCTTGCAATGTATTTGTTATCATTTATCAATTCTGATAGAAATTAGCTTCTTAAAATTATCTGTTAGATTAAGGACCTGCCCGAAACGCTGCACGTACTAGTGGCTTTACAAGATTGTAAATACTGTACTATCCAATGTATTCTCACAAACCCAATGTACCTTCTTGTATATAAATAAATAAATAAATATATAAATAAATAAATAAATAAATAAATTAACACTTTCGCGCTCTCGGCGCTCAAAAAAAAACAATACCCCAGATGCTTTCGGCACTTCGCGCGCCTACGCGGTAAGACCGAAAAAGTGTACACTCTTTTGACTGTCCGGACAATAATTGAAGGCGCACGTATTTAAATTTGGTATCACTGTGTTCGCAATGAAATTGTCTATAAGAGCATACCTATAAAATGCCGCCCAAGCATAAGGAGTATCAACACCAAATAAAAAACTATGCAGATCACTCGCCGAGAGCGCCAAACAGCAACAAAATGTTTCCACTCTCTTAATGGTTGCGAAGCCTACAGTTGTCCTACATCGCTAATTTTGGTATCATTGGAATCGCAATAAAATTCTCTACACGGACATATGCATATGAATGTTTAATATAGGTAATTGCCCACCCGCAAGAGTGTGTGAAGTGGAGAGTAGTTAGCCGCGAGCGCACTGGCGAAAACACAGGGGGGAAATCATGCTTGGAAAGTTTATACGTTTCCTGACCCTACTTTTCTATGTACGTATTTCTTTTTTATACCAATGTGTTCGCAATAAAATTTTCTATAAGAAGAACTGTATAACATTTGTACAAAGCATGTGTAAGAGAAGCGCCAAATATAGAACCACGTCGCTCAGTATGCGTTCGCGGCAGAAACGAACGCATTGTTTTCGTTCGTTTGATGTTTGTCATGTTTATACTTGTTGAAACATTTTATAATTTGTATGACAGTGATCGCAGTAAAATTCCCTACACAGACATATACATAACACATACAAATATTTCCCACGTGTTGGATATATCAACGGCTAAAGGGAACCCATTGCCACACGCTCGCCACACCCCCAAACATACTTTGTGTATTTTTTTTTTTACTCATAGAAGTTTATGTGATATAATATTCTGGTACCAAAAAA